GCCAAACAGACCCGTCATATGCTGCCCAACGGCTTCCGCAAAGTTGTGGTCCGCAACGTAAAGGTATGTCCGGATCTACTGATGCCCTCACTCTTGTGTCTAACTGCTGTGATCGTTACGTGTGTTTGCTAGGAGTTGGAGGTCTTAATGATGATGAATAGGCGCTACTGTGCAGAGATAGCGCACGCCGTGTCCTCCAAGAAGCGCAAAGACATTGTCGAAAGAGCCAAACAGTTGGCCATAAGACTCACGAATCCGAACGCGAGAATCAGAAGCGAAGAAAACGAATAAATAATTTATCAAATCTTTTTACATCTGATTTTTTCGTTGATTAATAAAACAAAGAGATTTTGGGTAAAGAATATGAGTATTTGTTTTCAATTTATTGATTCCCAAAAAACTGGTGGAAAGAGTTGATTGGGAACTATGTTTGGAAGTGAATGGGGTTTTCGGTATTGGATTCGGGCTTAAAGTGATTTCACGTATCGACGGATCGGGTGTTTGTATGCCTGCGAAGGGGTTGTGTTTGATTGTTGCGTAACGTTGTCTGCGTGTGGTCTGTGAGCGCACGCGCGGTGCGAGTGTTGTATGTATTGCGCGGTTGTATTGAGTGAGTGTTGGGGAGAGAAGTGAGGGTCTAATGAGTGGTGCGAACAGTGAGTCGGAGTGAGTGTAGAGTGAGTTGTGGTCTATATTTCATGGAGTATTAGATTGTGTTCTCGGGTTTGGGAGTCATTGGAGAGGGCTATGAGAGTGAAGAGCGCGTGAAGACAGTGACCAACACATCCACACACGTCCCACACAACCACACCATCGACACAGCCATACACTGTGCGGACACAACTCAATTGGTCTACTGGTGTGAAGACCTATTGGCCACCAATTGGTGTGATTTGACACTTCGGGAACGAGTGGTGAGTGTTTTGTGCGACCGAAACACACTTTGAAGTGACTGTTGAGCCGATCGGACACTCGGATGAATTGGTTATAATGCATGGTTTGGTCCAACGTTTATGACCTTGAGTTCGATCCATAGCTGGTTCTGTCATTGAGAGGATCCGCAGCGAAGACAAGGCGTCCGACCAGTGATAGTGTTTGCGACAGTTTAGCCACCCTTTGGACTCACAAACGGCACCCGAAGAGAGCGGTGACGAAGACGACGACAACGACATGTCCGACGACCGAAGCGGCGATGAATCCCATCCGACATCAAGTAATTATCCATTGATTTGATTGATTTGTTTTGCCTCTCATTTCCCGATCACTGGTCTCTTTGTCCCCCAATTATGTGATCAAAACAATTGTCATTCAAAGAGTGTGTGTTTTGTCAGACAAAAAGTGATTTCCATCTGAAACTCTTGTCTCAGACATGAATCTAATCTGAAGAGCTATTCATCAGCTGTTTTCATGTGTTTAGGGTTTTGGTAGTGATTGTTGTCTGTATTGGTGTCTAATATCTCTCATTGATGTGATTGTCATTGAAGTGGTTGTAAAGCGAAGACATTGAGTGCTATTTCATAGTAATAGTGATTATAATGTGATTGTAATTAAAGCGCAAAGTATTGGGCGTTCAATACATGTATGTGTTATACACTGTTATGTAATGTAATGTTCATAAGATATACAGTGAATGCCATTTGTATTGCGTTTGCCATAAATGCCGTCAATGGCTGTGCGCTGTGTATGTAATGCATACCCACTGCCAGTCCATTGCCTACCAGTGCTTAAACGGCAGCGCATAATAAGATGGCGCCAATCCTTTTAATACAGTCCACAACCACACCATCAATACATCCCAATCCGCACATTCTTCGCACGCTTACCATTGTTTATGCAATCACTACCACTAATCACACTATTTTTGCCACATTTTAATAGCCGTTTATTTTTGTTTCATTTGAAACATTTGTCACTTATTTAACATTTGAAAGTAATTTAATTGGTGTTTGAGTTATAGCTTAAAGTGTTATACATTTGGGAAAATAATTATTAGTTGTTAGCATATAATCGTAACATAAGTTGGGCTTAAGTTTTCAAATACAAGTAAATAATAGAGAGAATCAATAAATGTATTCATTTTTTGTTTCATATTTATTATTGTTTGAATGAATAGTCTTTAATGAGTTTGCAATTGTCTTCAAATGTCATTATTATTAGTTGTGAAAGAGTTTTGTTTTTTGTTGATTGTATCGACGCTTTGCTTTTAATCATGAAATTAGCGATCAATTAATGTGTTATAATTTGAAGCCAAACATGACATTACGTAACAATTAGTTAAATGTAAACGTTTAGATATTTTGGAAATTTGTTTTTATTTATTGTTTTTTAAATTCTTGTCTAAACTTGAAATTTTGTTTGTTTTTCGTATTTGTTTTTAAGGGTTTTAAAAGTTATTTTATTTTTATGGTAATATCCCGTTGAAAGTCATCGCAGACTTCATTATAATTAAATTAATATAATATTGAAATTCAATTAAATTTAATATTAATATCATTTTAAGTGAACATTTAAGTTAGGGTTTGAAAGCTTTTCGGTTGAAAATAGTATTTAAATTACATTGAATTGAATATCAAATTATAATAGAGTTATCGAGAAATTTGTTTTCATTGCATAACTAGTTTGTGATGAGAGCCTAAGGCATAGTTTGATTATTATTTAAGACTTCCTCATGTTTTCATTGCATTCACTCGACATCTCCTCCAATACTAACATAACTTTATTTTTTGTAAAATTCAATTGTTTGCCAAATTATAACTCGTCTTAAAACTGATTACAAATTCCTATTTAATTACCCTTTGATTTCATTTTGTAATTAATTTAACGAATATTTGCATTGTTTTTATTAATGCTATAAATCGTATATAACTTAATCTAGTATTAATTACTGAATTTAGGCTCTAATTAGTGTTGAGTTTTGTATATTTTAATGTAATAACAAATTATAAAATAATTTACAATATTTTAAAATTCATTTCCTCATCAAAAAAAAACATATTTTTCTATAAAATGCCATATTTTTATTGATTTGAAATAAACTCGACAGTAGTTTATAATAATTGATCTCATTTTTTGATTTATAAAAACTATAAAATTATTACTTTTTTTTATTACAAACATTGTGTGAATGAGTGTTGTCTCAGCATATAATTTATGGTCTCATTGGACCACAAAATATAGTTTTGAAATATTTTTTGTGGAGTTTTTTTTTGTCTTTAAACGATTGTAACAGAAGAGTAAAAGCTCTTCGTTTGGCCTCATTTTGTCAATGATTTAAATTTTTACGTATAAATTCCTTTAGTATTTGTATAGCTTTTAATTGCAAACACTATATTCTTGCCCAGAAATGGGAAATATATATTTTAATGGTAGGAAAGTCTGAGGTAATGGTTGGGACTGTTTGGTAAGATGGTTGATGTGATGGGTTGTCCCCACCCTTGCAGTCAAAACCATATGCCCGGGAATGACAGGACTATAAGAACTGCCGAACGCTATTGATTTGATATTCAGAGCCGGAACTACAAAATACTCATCCCAT